AGATGAAGCTCTCTGTCCCTTCTGGCAGTGGGTGGTCATTTGTGTAGATGTTGAACATGGATGGGGCAAGCACGCTCCCCTGAGGCAGGCCGTTCTTATGTCTCCGCCATCTGCTTCTCTGGCCCTGGAACTCAACAAAAAAGCTCCTGTTTTGTAACAGGTTTCCTATGAGGCGGGATTGTTATGATTGTTATGAAGTAGCAACAAAAACAATGTTATGGTTGGGGGTCACCACAACATGAGGGACTGCATTAAGGGGTCACGGCATTAGGCAGTTTGAGAACCACTGCTCTAAGGAGGAAGAGAAAATAGGGAATAAATAAATAAAATAAATAAATAATTGCAGGCGAAATGTCAGGAGAGAATGCTTCTGGAGCATGGTCAGACAGCTCGAAAAACGTACAGCAACGCAATGATTTGGACCATGAAAGCCTTCGATAATACATCGATGGGAACCTTTGGAGGGTGCTGTGTTGTGGAGGCCTGGATCCAGCTGTCATTTCTATCACAAAACACTTGCACTCCCCAATTTATCAAAAGTTGCAGATGTGGATCCACCAGAAAGGACCACGGTATCCTTCTGGGACGCCTCGCGGGGATGGGTCTTGGAGGTACTGTTCTGCAGTGGCTCCGCTCATTCCTCGAGGGTCGGTCTCAGAAGGTGTTATTGGGAGACTCCTGTTCAACCCCACAACCTTTGTCTTGTGGGGTTCCTCAGGGTTCAATACTGTCTCCCATGTTGTTTAACATCTACATGAAGCCGCTGGGCGAGATCATCCGGAGTTTCGGAGTGCGATGTCATCTGTACGCAGATGATGTTCAACTCTGTCACTCCTTTCCACCTGCTACTAAGGAGGCTGTCGAGGTCCTGAACTGGTGCTTGGCCGCTGTGACGATCTGGATGGGGGCGAACAAATTGAAATTGAATCCAGACAAGACTGAGGTACTCCTGGTTAGTCGCAAGGCCGAACAGGGTATAGGGTTACAGCCTGTGTTAGACGGGGTCGCACTCCCCCTGAAGACGCAGGTTCGCAGTTTGGGTGTGATCCTGGACTCATCGCTGAGCCTGGAACCCCAGGTTTCGGCGATGACCAGGGGAGCATTCGCACAGTTAAAACTTGTGCGCCAACTGCGCCCGTACCTTGGGAAGTCTGACTTGGCCATGGTAGTCCACGCTCTGGTTACATCCCGCCTTGACTACTGCAACGCTCTCTACGTGGGGTTGCCTTTGAAGACAGCCCGGAAGCTCCAATTAGTCCAACGGGCGGCAGCCATGATACTAACAGGGCCGGGCGCAGGGAGCATACAACTCCTCTGCTGCACCAGCTCCACTGGCTGCCGATATGCTACCGGGCCCAATTC